GCAATCTCAACAGCCATCCAAGTCATCTGAATTGTAGCAAGGGGACAACTTACCAGACTTAACGACCGACGCCATTCTACGGTACTACTACGACTTATGCCTGCGCACTTTTCCACAATCGTAGGCATAGGTCAACACCTAGCTTACCACCGCCGCAATTTAACGTGATTTTTGGCTGATACTGTCGTCGTCAACTTGACTGAGTTCCAAGACTCAATATTCAGCAAAACGCTCGAAACCAAGCGTGGTTTGTCACAGCACCGTTGTCCAGCCCATCCGGATGCTTACGAAGCACAGGGTCTGGCGCGGCTATTCAAGCACCAGAGGAGGAGACACTTCTGGCCTGCGCTACGGATATGGCACCGTCCGCCCTTAATCTTCCAAAGCTGTTCAATCAACTCCGAATCCGAGTTCCCTGCCGATCAGATGACTGCATTAAGAAATGATTGCAAGAACTAAGTTGGAACATGGAAGCAAAGGAACGCCTCGTTAACTGCTCAACTATTTCAGTTACGCGCGTCACCTCACCATCCGTCCTCACTCAGTCAGTAAATTCCCCTTAATATCTTCTGGCCGAAGAGGTCCACTCATCACTCCAGTAGAACGCCAGCGGTCTGATTTCACACCATATGTGACGCGGTTCCCATCTGAGTGACAACTAAGATGACTTAATAGTCACGCTAAATGTCAGCACACACAGCATACGTTACCCTGACAAAGGCTGGCGGCAGCCCGCCGCTCCATCGCCCAGTCCGCCTTTATCCTCAGTCTCACCATATGAAATCAACCCGGAGGTCGATTGGGAAGAATCATACGCCGAAAACGACGCGAAGCCCGCTACCGATATCTGGCACTTAGATACACAGATCACAGATGACCAGGCTACTGTTCAACGTCTTTTGGCGGAAGCGAGAGGAAAAGTAGCGCAATGTATCTCACAAACTGAACACCGTGCAGTTACCTTGCGAACAGTCATTGTAGACCTGCAAACGGGGCACTCTAGGACAGCATTTAGTAACGCCGTGGAAAAAGTGTGCTTAACCCTATTCCCTCACATATGGCGGCCCAGAAAGCGCAGACAAGGGGCAGTTACAGTCTCCAACAGCCATCAGCGACGACGCCTACAATACGGCCACATACAAGGCCTCTACCATCTGCGAAGAAAAGACGCTACCGCAACAGTACTCGATGGTCGTTAGAAGACTGCATTTTTGCCGGATAAAGTGGTGATCCCGGGTTTCAACGAATACTAGAAGAATGTACTCTCGCCACTACCTGTACCTGATAACCGAGCACCACACGATTGTGCCAACATTAACTGGGATCTCGTAAAACCTAGAACCATTGAGGAAACGACTTCTGCGCTGCGAGCAACGGATGGATCTGTCGCACTAAAGCACATCAGTCAGATGGATCCAACATTCATTATGTCATTTTTAAAGTGCTTATTGGCCTGTTCCAAAACTTTCCAACCCTTCCCGCCCTGAAGACTTCCGCGCAATATCTGTAATTTCAGTCTTCGCTCATCTTCTGCACTGAATTTTATTCGTTCGCTGGATTCCAGCGTTCCCAGCTGACCGTCTTCTATTTGGTTTTGTTCGTAAAGATGGCTACTTTAAAGCCCCCACGATATTACATCCCGCCCTAAGAGATTCACACTTGAACAGTATCCCTCTATCCATCGCTTCTCTTGACATATCAAAGCCCTTTGATTCTGTCTTCCACGCTTCGCTGCTTCGTGCGGCCTCCTCTTTCGGTGCCCACTCTTTTCTTCTACCTTATCTAAGTTTTATTACTCCTCCGGAATTCCAATCATCAACAGTCTGAGGATTCATCTAGGATGTGGTGTCCGTCAGAGAGATCCACTTTCCCCCTTGCTCTTCATCATGGCTCTTGAGGAAGAAATACACATACCGTCTAACACACAGTGGATTTCCCCAGCAGGTCCAATCGATCAAATCGCTTACGCAGATGATGTGGTACTATTTGGTCCCGACAGAGAAGTCCCAATCGAACATCTGGGTCGATTTAGGGAGGATATACAATATCTTGATTTGACAATAAACCACATGAAATCGATGGCACTGGGTATCATCGTTGACAGCAAAAGAAAAATTTTGCCTATTTTGAACACTGCGCAGCTCCTTTGTGGCACTCTCCGAAACCCCTCGATCCAGCCATCCGAGGAATTCCGGCTACTTGGATTTTCATTCGATTGAAGGGTAAAAGACCGTCGAAATCGCTAGGCCAACTCAAAGCACAGATAAGGGAAACAAATCAAGCCCCCACAAGCCCTACCAACGCAAGGACATTTTGTGTACCTATCTTTTACCGCGTCATACACATTGCCTCTCATCAGTGGTGGTGCACCGGTAGACCCACAAGTCGATGGATAGGCTGGTTCGGGCAAGTATAAGAAAATGGCTACGATTCCCCAAGGACACCAGCGTCGCTTTCTTTCAAGCATCAATTGAGAATTATGGAGTGGGGGTTCCGTGCCTTTCTAGTATGATCCCATTGCTTCGGAAGGACCGCCTAGAGCGTCATCTTTCACTCTCCCACCCAATTATCAGCTAGGCAGTATGGGAACCTTCAGCAGCTACCATCCAGTGCCTTGCCACAAAACCTGTAATCATTAAGAATCAAGTCATCTTTGACAAAAGTGACGCGAAAGAAGCATGGAAGAACTCATTGCTACAATCTGTGGATGAATCCTTGCTTCGGATAGTAATTACGACGCCAATGTCTCACAAATGGATAAGAAACCCCGAGGGAGAAAGAGAGAGAGAGGAACCCAACTTCGATCAGGGGTGCTGTCGACAAATTATCGATGCTCCAGGGGACGAGCACCCCCAAACTCAACCGATCTTCATTGCTGGGGCGCTTGCGGACAAAGCGAAACACTTTCTCACGTACTGCAGTCTTGTGCAGTAACCCACGATGCTCGCTGTATGAGACATAAGGATATCGTGACGCAACTAACCAACAGTCTTCATCGCAAAGGAGCCTAGATCAACCCGGAGCCCTGTATCCCAGCTGCATCAAGCCGGAAGTAATCGTTACTAAGAACTCCACAGTCTAAGTAATGCACGTAGCAATATGCGACACCTACAGTAAGACCCGGAGCTACCAATTAAAAATGGACGGATACGGTGTAGATCCGCATGTGGAAGCCATAGCCCGCTTTGTGTGCTCGGAATTTCCTACAGCATTAAATATCATGCATCACGCGATAATCATCAACAATCGGGGTCATGTATTCCCAGGGTCCGCCAAGCACATTTTGGCATTGGGGCTCACCAAAATTGATATATCCGGCTTGTGTGTGTGTCTACGACGAGAGGATCCCTTAAAGTGTAAGACACTTACATATCACACTAACACTGTACACTCACACATTCGCGAGCGATTCCAACTTTTCATTGTGTTTTATTACTGTTTCAAAAGTACACCAGGACATTTGTGTCCAATCTCGGTGAATTTAGGTAATGCCCAGGCCTAGGGTCATGCATGAATTTGTCGAAGATATATGTTCATGGACTGCGGCGTTTCGGATTAAAGTGAAACTTGGCCACTTCGATCACTGGGAACGTAACTGATGAAGTAGATGAATAGTGGGCATTGTCCACCTGAAAACAACGCACTCCACAAACGGTTTAGAATCTATTTGATCTCAACAGATAATAGCAGGTACTCAAACTCAGGGTACCGTATAGTACCGAATATAAGCCGATGATTTTTGGACAATTGTTCTTTGCTGTAAAGGGGTCGGCTTATAAACAGGCTATAGGAAATTTGAAACCGGTTACATGCGAAACCCAGGCTGGAATTCACTGCACACCACTGCCTCTATCTTCCCTTACCACCACGCGCTAGTGATGGACGGTATTCCAGACAGGTGTATGAAGAGCCTATAACTGGACACGTTAATTTTGTGTCGAAAATTCTCCGTATATTACACATTTGACGTTCGCGACGGATGGCAGTAGCGAATCAAAAGCGTTTAAACATTATGTTTTGCCAGGCGATCCGGTGCCTTAAAAGTACAACGTTGTCCCAGACCCCAGGTCGTGAAGTTCAGACTCATCAACTGCTCTAGTGTGATTCTTATGCATGAGGCGGGTTGCATGACACCCCCTATCACCTTACCCTATATTGTCGGCTGTCTTGCCTGTTTCATGTGACTTAACATCTGTTCAATACACAGTCCAGTGCGGTGAAAGTCTGTTCTGACGGCCCTACGCCCCAGTAACTGCGATTATAACACAATACGGTCACCATAACTGCCCAACAGTAGAGCACGTTTCACTTGTACAGTGATGAGGTCAAAATCGTGAAGAAACAATTTCGTCTCTCGTTTGCTGATTTTTCGGGGTCGGCTAATTTGCATCAAATTTGATGTTGCAAAGTTGCACGCTCGGCCTATGTATGGACGAGCTTATATTCGATACTATACGGTATTTTAGGCGTCAGCAGAAAAGCCCCTGATAACGAACCAACAAAACTTCATGCCAATCTAAATGTGATTTCTTACCTTTTCTGGTTATACGATGTTAACTCATGCTTTAAGCGCTCTCAGATATACTTTGTTTTGATGTGTAATAATTACCGAACAACCTCGATTTCCGTATCATCTTAATTGTGCTTGTGGCATAACTACTGCTCAAGATCGCGAAGCGGAGCATCTATTCTTGAGTCAATTGTATTGATTTGTTTATACGAAAAGTTGTACAACATGGCCTATCAATAGTAAGTATTCGGGCCATGGACCCGTTTGCATCGCCCAAGATGTACATAAGTTTGGCGACTCAACTAACCCTCCACGTTTTCCGGCGCAAGGTAAGGTGCATGCTGTGAAATGTCGTTGTAACCATCAGTAGAAAGTGTCCTCTTGTTGCTTTAAAGTAAAAGTAGACGTAGTGTAGCCAAGGATTTCGATCCAAGGGATAGTGCAAAAGATATGGGAATATAAATACAATGTAAACGATGCACTGACTTACCTGGATCCGTTAAACATACCATGGTATAACTCAGGCAGTTGAAAAACAGGCAGGCCAATGTGATGAACAAGTGATTTTCCCATTCCAAGTACCGATACAATATGCTTATCACGCGTGAGATCAAAAGGTAATGACCGGCGAGCAGTATGAATGCGTATAGTATCTGGTAGATACAATGACTACGAAATAAAAAAGAGAAAGTAGAGGCTTGAACAGTGTAAGTGTCAAGTAAATACTGAAAGAAACAAATGTTGAAATACGCCCACAGCCGATGAGACGAATAGCAAAATTCGTTCGGTTATGTTTAACTGACCGAGCACCGCAAAAAAACAGGTGCAGAATCCGCGGCTCCGAAGTGACACACTGCAAACGGTAAAGCTAGTCATGCTTAGCTATCAATAAAGGCAGACCCCAATAGGAGTGATCACTCCACAGTAGAAAATACAGCTCGACACTTGTAAACTAAGATGCATTAAACTGAATACATTTTGTGATAATGTATCTCCGAGTAGTGGAAGTCGACCTGAATGGCATCGATTCCCCACCAAGGCTAATTCTGGGGCCGACGCTTTTAAATCACTAACCATTTTGCAAATGCTCTCAACGACGTTAAGAGACGAGGATAAGGTATCTTGCAGGAAAATTGAGCTACCGGTGATTAAATATCAATACTATTTGGCAAGTTGGGTGGCAGTGCTTGACCAATCCAAATTATTTGCCTCCCCTTTAAGATCCCTTATGGCAGGGATGTCCAAAGTCCGGCCCTCGAGCCAAATGCGGCCCGCATTAACATTTCAACTGGCTCGCTGCTTCATCATGAAATAGACTGTGCTATGTAGCTTGTGAACTATAAAAAACCTCAAATAATAAGTTCATGCTTGGATTTTTTGGTGAATGTGTAATGCGTGTGTGTGTGTTATCTTAATGTCAGAGTGAATATGGTTCGACATAATTTTTATCTCACAACATGTGGTACTCGTTGCAAAACGTTTAGACATCCCTGCCTTACAGGTTGGCGTCAAGTGTGAATAGCACTCAAATAAACCTTGTGTTGTAAAGATCACACTCAGATCCGACGATACTCGCAGCTGGAACACAGTAAATTAACATAGATAAGCTTAAACATTATAAATAGAACAAGTGGAGTGAAATAAACACAATGTCCAAAACGGCGAACAGTAGATGACCGATGTCAATTAGAACGAAGAGTAAGTTGAGTTATGTAGCACTCCACTGCCTCAAGTAATAGCGCGCCAGTGAACTGATCAAACCAGATGAAAATTGGTAACATCCGTGAGGGAACACCACAAGTAATATAAAAGTCAAAACCGTGTGTGACTGAGACATAACCAAATGAACTGTTGCCCGGTGGATTCTGGTGGTAAAACCTTGGATTAAGTGAGTATAGCTTGGGATCAGGATAATGGTAAACTAAGGTGCAATTAAATGTGTACCCTAGGCTGGTTTCATGAATACGTAAGACTGACACGTGTCTCTACCACATTTGCAAGGCGCACGATGAGCTGACAAAAACAAAGTAAACCGATGATTGTCTGGTTCGATGCTTTCAATGCGACGCGAGTGAACAATTGACTAAGTTGCGGCACGGAATAACTCATTGCAAATGTGCTGAAGAGAGAGCAAGTAAGCGACAGCGTGGGTAAATTCGGAAGGTAAATGACAGACAAATATCATGAAACGAAAACTCGAATGAAGCATTAAAACAAACACAATGGTAACATGGCCACGGTTGGTGGTGAAGCGTTTTAACCTAAATCGACCATCGCAGTGAGCAAATAAACAACTAGTCATCATTGTGTGATACGCTGAACAACAACGGATACCATAAGAGACGAAACGTCATCGACCCCTGGAACGGAAAAGCAACCTATAGGGAATACACCGAACGTGGCACGTGTACTATGTACAAAGAGAAGCGAATAGCCGTAAATTCTTTGAACGCAGACTTAGACGGCCTGTGTAATGGCCGGTAATCAAAAGCTGATGTCGAATCAAAGCAACATAAAATAACATAGTAAGTTACGAACAACATACTTTTGGAAAAGAAACCATGTACAAAACCGACGAGTTAGTACTCGGACGCCAGATGGCACCAAAAGGTTGAGGATGCGTAAGAGATACACTAGGGGCAGAAGGAGAAATTGGACGCAGTGCGTCTCTCTGAAGGTGTAAGCAAGCCCAATGATTGCACAGAGAAGTGTGTAGCCAAAAATTGCTAGTATGAAGTCCATGGACTCACATTCGACGATTCACGTAGTTGCTAGGCTGGAAAACCTGGAGAAGAAAGTTAAAAGAAAGAAATGTACTACGTCGGGCATGCACTACCAAACAAGATAGATAAGAGTTGTTATACTAAAGACAATGCCTGCTGTTGAACAATTGGTAACAAGCCAGCTAATGGAATACTGTCTAGTTTATTGTTATGAGAAAAACCATTGTACGTTTCGCCTTTGGCTTTTGTATAAGAATACTAAAATGAAAATGTATTGTTGCTGTGCCGTTCTCCGCCCTATGACTTGTTGGTATAAATAAACTCTCCCACTGAGCCATTGGACCAAACTCCATGCTAACATTCGACAACGCCTGTTGCATCGTTCTCACCTCAACCGTAGTTCATTTTAACATGGCGTAAAATAACTAACTGTATTCGTTCTCTGATAGTGCCACTAAATTAAGTGCCTACAGTACAATAATTACCAACAGGTTCTCCAAGAGCGGCCATGCGGTAATGAAACTCGGGAAACACTACAGTGAACTCAGTTCAAGAATAATTCCAGGTCAAAGTGTAATAACTTTCAATTTTTGGTTTATTCTTACACTTCGGTGGCTCCGCTAAAACCAACGAGGTGGTGAACCTGTGCTTACCGTTTCTCAGTCGAATAGTCAAATGCAACAGTACAACGATCATTGGGAATGACGCGAATGCTTCAGGGGAAAACTTAGTGCGGGTGAAGCGCTACACGATTCTCCGTTTAAGGACAGCTGCTCGTTGGTTTGGAACGGATGAGTGTCCTTACGCGCGTACAATTCACGGACGCCATATCGTCGGAGACGCGCCTTCTGGATACAGCCGAGAAAAAGCCCATCTAGGCGAAGTGGAGCACATCTCATCATCTATAGCCAGAGGTGTCACTCACATAGGTCGGCTCAGCTGGAAAACACATTCAGATACGTTAAATATGGTGACACGAATAAACGTGGTTTATTTGTCCCACCATAGAGAAGCGCTCAGTCCCAATGAACCTCGGATGCAAGTATGGCATGAAGAATAAAAGTGATGAACTCTCAACTATCGGCTATTCCCGACTCCTCAGGTGCGTTGGCCGAACTGCGATTATGGTCCTCTGGAAAGCCTAAGAAGAGATACGTTAAAACATCACATAAACACCCAAATGGAGAGGTACAAAAAGCAGTTGTGATCCTAGGAACCTGACTGTCTTCGTCGAAGTAAAACGTATGGATACAAAGTTGGTTCGACTAGCATTTGGCTAAAACGTTGTCGGACTGATGAGTAGTAGTGAGGATTGTGGTAAAATTCAGCTAATTCATCATCGTCACTCCCAATCAACAGGCCTGGGCTAGTCTGAAAAAGCACCAAACGCCGACGTTTCGACCTTTGGGTGTCGTCAGTGGTGCGTATCCCAGAAGACCCTTGCAAGGTTCCGCCCCCATGACTTCAGGATGCCAGCAGCTAGTGCCACTTTGCTATGGGTGACAGCTGCAGGTCTGCGTGATTAACGGTTGTCTATGGTATAACCCGGCTCGTCTTCCACTGCAATGCCAGTTACGAACTGTACAGAGGACAGTGGCTAACCTCACGAGTTAGGACTTTCCGCATAGCGTCTATGTAAAATATAGGACTTAAAAGCTAGTACTGAATACTGGTTCGAAGCAGCGAGTAGAGCTTTTTCTGTGTATCTTCACATGTATCTTCGGATGGCATACGTCGTAAGTTGGGAATCAGCCTGGTGGCTACATGCTGCACCCGCTCAAGCTTTTTAGCCTCGCCCAGGGTGATGGGACAATACGCGGAAGATCCGTACTCTAGCATTGGTCGTATTATCGAGACGAAGAGGCGAGTAGCAATCTCTTCGGACCAAGTGCTGAAGCTGCACCTGAGCGCCCAAAGCATCCGAAGGCTGTTTTGGTACAGCCTATTCGTGTTGTCAATGGACTTTAGGTCGCAGCGTGAGAGCACACCGGGGTCGCGCACGAAAGGTGCGGGATGCAGCGCTTGACCAGCCACCGTGTAGGTTCGGCTGTGGTCACACTTATCCAACCTCATAAATTGCGACTTGGCAGGGTTGATCGGAAGGTTAACCTCTGCAGACCATGTTGAGAGGCGGTCGAGGTGCTGCTGAAGTAAATCACAATGATTGGGTGCGCGGATTACTTTCCACACCTTCAAAACATTTGCGAACAACGCACAAGGTGAGTGGAGTAGCTGAGGCACATCTTTTACATGGATCAGAAACAATATCGGCCCCAGTACAGTGCCTTGGGACACGCCGCTGCTCGATGGATACCAGTCTGTTAGATGGTTGTCCACCTGGACAGTCGGTAACTGGCATGGCAGTGGAAGATGAGCCGGGCTGTATCATAGTCAACTGTCGATCACGCAGGTCTGCGGCTGTCACCCATGGCGAAGTGGCACTAGCTGCTGGCATCCTGAAGTCATGGGGGCGGAACCTTGCAAGGGTCTTCTGGGATGCGCACCACTGACGAGACCCAAAGGTCGAAACGCCGGCGTTTGGTGCTTTTTCAGACTAGCCCAGGCCTGCTGATTGGGAGTGACGATGATGAATTGGCTGAATTATACCAGTATCCTCATTACTATTCATCGGTACTATAAAATCTCTCCGTATAGCTATTAAGTCCTATGTGGTACATAGGCGCTATGCGGAAAGTCCTAACTCGTGAGGCTAGTCACTGTCCTCTGTACAGTTCGTAACTGGCATTGCAGTGGAAGATGAGCCGGGATATATCATAATCAACTGTTAATCACGCAGGTCTGCGGCTGTCACCCATGGCGAAGTGACACTAGCTGCTGGCATCCTGAAGTCATGGGGGCGGAACCTGGCAGGGGTCCTCTGGGATGCGCACCACTGACGAGACCCAAAGGTCGAAACGTCGGCGTTTGGTGCATTTTCAGACTAGCCTAAGCCTGTTGATTGGGAGTGACGATGATGTAGTAGCTGAAGTAAAACATTATGAAACGCTGAATTATTGTCCCGCTTCGTCGACCATCGTCAAAAACAGCTGTAAGTTCATCTGCAATTGTATTCATATTATTATTATTATTATTATTATTATCAAAATTTGATTATAGGCACGAAGCTCCAGTGTATAGTACGTCCAAACAATGGAATTAATGATGAGATGCCTAAAAGGCATCAGACCATTGAACGATGCTGCTCAGGTTAGTGAACGAGCTTGGCAATCCGATAGAGCCTAAAGACCGCCACGTAGTAGCCCAATACCGATTGTTTCCGATGTCAGTCACTGAAAAAATGTGTCGCAGAGATCCTTTCTCAGTTTGAAACTTCACTAAAGTCGAGTGGGGATAAGTAAAAAGGACAACGTAAGGTCACCATTGCCTGTAGCCTAAAGGTAACGAGCTTGTCCTGTAATCTGACGGCGCGGTTCGAGCTTGCGTAGGGGCAGGGACATCTTCGCAGTAACCTAAGCCCACGTGCAACCCGCGTTTGTTGCGCGGAAGCGAAGCGCCAGCAATGTGTACCGGCGTACTGCAGACGTCTTTCACCAAGATATGCGGGGAAGGTAATGGCCGGCCTGTGGTTATTTGACTACAGCTTTGACTTGCAAACGATAATCATTTGCCTCATGTTCTACGAACTAACTGGAGTGTGGCATGTGGCGACATAACTCGCTCGGAATCGCACTCAACCTCAGTTGAATGCTGTCACGTGACCTAGTGCTGACAGCAGCCTATCCAGCGTGGCTTCCACACTATCAATGTGTGAAACATTGTCGTAGAAATAGGTCAAAAATAATATCAACAAGGTTAATGTGTACCTAATCAGAATTGTGTCGAAATTGTCCGATGTGACAAAGCAACAAAGGTTGCTGTCGGGATCATAAACTTATGCGAAATCATTCGTAGTCGCAGGTAGTTAAGGACATGCTCGCACGGTAGCTTGCAGATGAAACGAGTACAACACTGCATTACATCCAGCGGGAAATAAAGAAACAAAACGTGTAGTCATAGATCCCCGAAGCACGCAGGTGAGAATGCTCAGAAAATGATGAGATTTAATACTTAGTAAATGGCTGTGATTAAGAGGCAGCGTTCCAAACGGCGACCGAGTACATGCCATGCTACATTTCGTAAGCTTATGGTGCGCCGAGTTTGGAGAGGTTTCCTGTAGTCTATTTGGTAAGCAATTAATGAAACGGGATTGATTTGACTAAAGCTCTGAATGAATCTGATCGTTTTTCAATCGCGGAGATCAGGATTTGTGATTAGAAGCGTCGTACCAGATGGAGCGATCAAGCGGTTGGTGGTACCGAGTACTGGGAACATAATGCATATTAGTTAGCTGAATATTCTGTTTGTGCAAAATGATGTTGTATAACCAGGTTGAAACGCAAACGACTGTCACCAGTCAGCAACAATCAGACACTCAAAATACCTACTTAGTTCAATTTCTTAAATAGGCGTATCAGCCCTGCCCATCAAATCCTCAAGCGAGTACATAAGTAGATCGCTAAGGCCCGAGTGTCTCTTCAAGTCAACGGGAAAGTAGAAAGCAGGCGAAAGGAAAGGAGACCAAAAATGAGGGGCATTCGGAAGTTGCAATGAGCAGGGGTAATCTACTATGCCAGAGGTCAGCTACAAGGTTAGTGATGCAAGCCACTAGCAGTCATGGGTTGGTTTCCCTGAATGAGACCGAAGGAACACGCTGCATTGACAAACCCCAATCGCGCAAAACGATCGGGTGCTTTTTCCAGATTGGTAGTTGACTTGTCTGACTTATGGTCTAATTGCAATGAACAAAGCAAATCTCACCAAATCGCTCCACTCATAAGTACTCAAAAACTTTGTCCATAAAATGCTGTGTGGATTCAGGGCTACTGGCAAGGGAAGTCCTGATACCTGGGAAGTAACCAATTTACTTTGCACAGACAGTAGACTACATGGTAGTGGGGGTGGGTCGAGCTATGCCGCAGTTACATTTCAAACAATGATAATCAGCTATCATCTCCCACGATTCAGTGGTATAGGCTATTGGCTAGGTGTGCAAGCCACTAACGACCATTGGTACATTTTCTAAAGGGGACCACTGGCAAGCCCCAATGGGACGAAACGATCGTCTGGTGCTGTTCCGGATTGGCAGTTGACCTATCTAGCGTATAACCCAATGGCGAGAAACTAACTAACGCTACTGCGATCCACTGTGCTCAACCAAAATGTTACTTTATCACTGGCGAGACTCTTAGAACCAGTTGGCAGGTTCGTAGTCACGAGTTGCTCAAAGGATCTCCAGAATATGGTCGCGAAAGAGGAACTGTCGTCGCTGGATGCGGAGCGCGTACACTAGATGGAAGTTGGCCAGTTTTTCAAAAGTATGTTTGTGAGCGAAACAGTAGGTGGCCGTGATATCCCATATAATAGACCGAGAAGTGATTAAGAATATATTGCTAAAAAAGAATGGGTCATTGTATGCTGTACACAAATTTGAATCACCGTTTTACCGCAGCGCATTTTCACTGACTGATTCCTGCTAGCCATTTAGCTTATTTCATTGGTTCGAGCTAGCCGTTTGTTCGCTGCTATTTGAATCACTCCTACCTTGACTTTGTTCAGAATACCCTAAACCAATTCTGGGCCGTTCATCCGGTCCATGCAAATATGGTCCGCTTACGCTTGCAGCGCTGGTTGGCTTT